AAAATATGCAATAAATGCTTTGAGCATTGGCTATACAGTACAAAAACTCCCTAACTGATAACATATGAGAAAAATACCGTAAACGTACAGTTGAGTAGTAAAAACAGCTACAGTAAAGTTTACACAAAAAAATGTTTAGATGAAGTCTCTAGGTAGAAGTAAAATACTGAGTGATAGAGAAATAACATGAGTTATGTATTTTTTAAATTTACTTTTATTTACAGATATTGTTTGTTGCATATATAAAGAAAAAAAAAAACCCACTGACATCGCTTTTTAATAACTTATCATTTTGATATAATTTGATACCTTTTAATAGTATTTGTTTTGTATTTCCAGATACTGAAAATGCAAAGAATCACCATTACATACCTGTACACGTATGTCCTATAGGGATATTACTGTACAGAGTATAACACCATGAAGTAACTGTAAAGTCTCACATTATGCTCCACAAACAATCCAACTGGTAACATTTAGAAATACCCAGGATGCCTCTGATTTGGTGGTGAGGTTAATATGAACATTCAAAAACTGCTGCATTTGACTGTGTTACCAAAGTGAAAATAAATAATTTTCATATGCAGAAATCTCACTTCTTCATCTTACAGTATAAAATCACATTTACTGCATGTTAGATTAAACGTTGGTTCACCTGTTGGGATTAAGATGTAAAACGTCTTATTAATAAACTTAAAGGTCTTACCTGACAGCTAGACGACCTTCGTGGGGACTGGAGGAAGCTGTGAATGAATGAAACGATGTGCTTCAGATTAGGAGCGGAATCTTGTGCTGCACAACCTGTTTTATTGGTACAAAGAAATGAAACTCCTGATAAACCCGGAATATCACCTCTCCATTGTTATTGACTGAAGAGTGGTAACAGTGTTGTGCAGCAATGTGTTACTGACCAATGTTCAATATGGTAAAATGAAAGTAAGTAGGCTTCATGATATTTAGACAGCATAATATATATATATATATATATATATATATATATATATATATATATATTAATAACATTTACTCATATTAAAGTCAGGGTTTTCTTATCACATTAATAAAATACTATTTATTTAATGCACTTTGGCAAATTTATTGATGAACACATGTTTTGACTATGCTTTATTAGGTTATTGTACCACACCTGAGGTGGATGCACTGTACTCTGAAATCTCATCAGTTAATGTGCAGAGTAAAAAAAAGATTTTTACGACCAATTTATAATCCTTTTCTGTTTACGAGCATCAACAATGAATGTATTACAGTAGCTCTAATAAAATAAATGTGTTCAGTGACTTGAAGGATCTGATAATTACCACACTGTTATTGTTGTGTGTTCAGTCCTGTTGTTGACCCGCTCAAACTAAAAAAACATACATTCATGCATACCCCATATATATGTCACATAAGAGTTACTTGTTAGTTTTTTTTAAAGTAAATTCTTATAATACATTCAGGATTTTCCAACAAGGGAGAAGGAGTTTAAAGAATTTTAACAAGGTTATTGAACTTCTTTTTGTAGAAAGATTATTACAAATGATTCAAAGCAGAGTATTTTTATATATCCTAAAACATGTCGGGAGAGGAACTTTAATAGATAACACGTACATTGTGTTTATGACAATTATTTTGGTAGTTTGATAGTAATTTAAAAATGTTCTTCTTGTTCAAAAAAATATATCATTTATGTTCACTCTACAGATAGAAGGCATATCATTAAAATAACAGTGTCAGTGTTATGCTGAACACATAATATGCATACTGTGACGGCCCTTGGGTTGGCTTTATTCCGTTCCTCGTTCTTTGGTCGTTTACTTTCTTTGTTTCAGGAAGTAGGGGGTGGAGCTGGGTTTACTCCCTGATGCAGCTAACCTGAGCAGGCTGGGCTCAGGAGGCTATAAATCAGACCTGCAAGGCTTTCTCAGTCTCTTCCTCTGGCCTGCTGACTGAACTGTTGGTTTTTGTTTGTGTTCTAAATGTTTGTGTTTTAAATTCATTTACTCACACAGGCAGTGCAGACATACTGATTTACTGATAGACAGATTAAACTGTATTATTTTTTATTTACTTAATTAAATTGTGTTAACCAATTACAGGCTCTGTGGTCTCCCACTTTGTCACACACCTTTGAGCCAGGTTGTGACAATAGAGTTAGGGTTAGGGCATACACTAATGTGGCATTGGTAAGAGAAAGGGCCCTTCTTGTTTTTATTATATATATTGTTTTTGGATGTTTTTTTAAGGTGGCTCAATACTGGGTCAGTCAGTGCAGGTTGTCAATTGACTTACATATGGACCAGTTCCTTTTAAAGCTGGCCTGCTGGAGCACCTGGACTACACCCACTATTGGCGAGATCTGCCATTTTTGTTGATGGTGATTATGGCCAAGTCAATCAATCAAACTTTATTTACATAGCACAGAAGAAATCGAATGCAATTCAGTGATTGACAAAATGTAGATTGTTTTTTTTAAAAAGAATTTAGAGACAAGAAAGTCCAATAAGACAACAACAAAATATGTGTATTTAAAATAATAAGATATCAATAAAATCAATGAAAATAAGAAATACTACTCATAATAAACTGACTATAGTAAAACTGTTGATAAATAATTGTCAACAGTAGAATTTTAATACAAATATAATAAAATATTTAATGATAAATAATAAACCAGTTTACTTTCAGCAGATTGACCCAGACCAGTGCACTTGTGCTGGTTCTGGGGCGTCATTCAAACCTGGTTTGACAAGAGTCTGGTAACCGTACTTGTTACTATACTGCCCTGCCAGATCTGAGACATTATGGGACCAGAACCACAACTTTTCACCTGCTTTGGTCTAGAATTTGATACTTTACTGCTATCTTGTGGCCTTTTCTGTCACTACAAAATATAACAGAGTGGCAGGTAACAACCTGCATGTGCAGCTTTAATGGCCCCATCTGTCTGTTCATGTTGTGTAGAGGGAAACAGAAATACTTTATTATTGATCTCTCTAACTATGTTGCATTTTTGCAACAAAGTGGATATAAAACAAATAAGATTTCTAAAAGTAATCATTGAGGATTTTTTTATATTTCTGTCCGTACAAATACAAACTGCAAATTGAAAATGGAATAAAGAAATTTTATTCAAGTGTGTGATTAGACAAAGTAATGACAAGAAGAACAAAATGTGACTTACTTCATCCTTGACATCAAAATGACTGTCCACTAGTAACCTGTTAAAAGATTTTGACAGTAACCTAATCCAAGAATCACAACATTAACGGAACTTGATTACTTTCTGTTACTTTTGGATTACCTCAACACCAAATAAGCAAATTAAAACCAAGAGAAAAGAAATAAGTGTTGATTCAAATGTATTCTATAAGACAACAGAACAATGTGACCTTTGAAAAGAAAATGCAAACGGAACAAATGGAGAGATTTTTAGTATCAACAATGTCTCCTCTGCTCAAATTGTAATTCTGCTAAATATTACCCAGTTTTACTAAATGTAACTGTAATCTGATTATGTGTTTTTACTGTCGAGCCTCTGTCATCCTCAGCCTTTTCTGGTTTCCTGGTATGAAATTCTCCAGTGGTCCAGATGTGCTGCATGAGAGCTTAAATGTGATACACCATCACATCATAATGTCCTGAAGTTTCATTTAGATTTTCATTATGACAAGTTTGTGCAAAAATGTAGTGAATCTGAACTTGAACTTGAGTTCACGTTAATAGTTTTTATTGATGCAACTGGATATGTTTGTATCTCTCTCTCTCTCTCTCTCTCTCTCTCTCTCTCTCTCTCTCTGTATTTGGCTGATCAGATTAAATTGACACCACATTTTAGGTTTCCAGGAATCAGCATCACTGGAGGAGGCTGCATGTTGACAACTGTTTGAGACTGCATGTTGATGACAGTAGGAGTTTTTTTGCGATGTTTCAGCTCACGATGCATCTGACACCAGGCACACCAGAAGCAGCAACAGGAAACTCCAATGTCTTTACAGATAGAACCCTGAGGAGAACCAAAGTGAAAAATAAGGAACGTTTTGAATTCAACATTCAATATACATCAGCTTTATATGCATCATACCTTGATTCCATATCTGTTTCTCATGGAGGCCCTTAGAGACAAGAGTGCAGGAGGAACAAACAATGGCATCCCACAGGCTGCGACTACGGCAGAGGTGCACATGTCGCACAATGGCAGACAATAGTTTTCTCCAAATCGTCTGGAAACTGTGCAGGCAAGGCAAGGACAGCACCAGAAACCATAGCAGCCTGAAGAACACACAGAGACAAACTCTCACACACTCTCTTCAGTGACTTGGCCTTACTAAAGAAGGTCATAGAAATGAGAAAAATAGACCATCAAGAAATACAAATTATACAAAGTTAAAGTATTGATTCTTACAAGTACTCGCATCCTCAAAGCAGTCTAAGACACCGCTGTCCCAGTCTATCAAGGGTTTTTCTGCCATTGGTTGTTGGTCAATTCGAGCCATAGATAGTGAACAATGAACCTACAAACAGAGAAATCAGAGCAAAGGCTAAAAAAAACCGTACAGAAATATCAGATCTAGGAACATGATATGCAGATTTGTAGGCTTATTGTACAGTATATCTTAATGTTTAGGAGGTCGTGTATCTAAAATACCACATATTTATCTACCACAGTAGGCTAAATGAGCAGCTCCATGCTGTAAAACTCGTTCATGAGAAAATGAGAAGCGTCTTTCTTTCTGTCTCTGTTGAATGTTACTTGTGGCAATTATCTTCTGGACAAACAAATCTCTTCCACGTTACTTGGCAAAATAAAATACAATGAAAGTTTGGAGCACCGGCTGTAGCCTACAATTCAGTCCGAAACTGATACCATGTGAGACAAATACAGTGAACATACCGTTGAGAAGCTACAACGCAGTGCCGACCGGTGGCATAGGCAGTAAAGGATAATGCTAAGGGCGCCGTCCATCTAGGGGGCGCCACAATGGAGGAATTAAAAAAAAAAAAAAAAAAAAAAAAAAAAAGGTGCAACTTTCAATATTTTTATACTAACACTAGTTGGTGCTATTATTTCTTAATATGAAAAAAAAAATAAGCCCACATTAATTTAACTGCATAGCAAACCCTATTAAATAATAATAAGACTTTATTAAGCCCCCCCCCACGTGTTCTCTGAGAGATGGTTGAGTTTTCTGACGTCACCCCAGAAACCATTAACAATGTCAAAACGACCAAAACTTTCCGGTGCCGAGGGAAGGAAAGAAAGAAGAGAAGAGGAGGAGAAACGCGACAAAAACAGAGGTAGAGTGAAGATAATGTGATGAAATGATTTGTCTGTTGCAGAACGATAGTAACCTTTAGCCTAACACGGTTTGTTAATCAATAAATAACGTTAGTTCGTTTTAACGTCAGTTCATGTTATGGAGGGGTCTATAATATATATAATACTCCCACCTTCTATTTCTCAGGGACATTTGTAAAGATTAGATCTATTCAGCAGTTGTTTACATTTGTCTACATTTTTATTTTTATTTATTATTGGTCAGCTAACAGTCACACACCTTTATATATTAGAGTTGTAAGCCTTGTTGTTTGTTGTGTTGCAGTTCAGTGTTGTCTAAAGTGTGTTTATAGTGTTAAACTTTACATCCATGTTAAAGTGCACATCATTAATGTTAATACCTTCCCATAGGTTATATTATACTGCAGTTTACTGCTTCTAATCAGCATTTCACTGTAATGACAATAAGATTAAATCTAATCTAATTTTCAGAAAAAAATTGCACTGTATATCATTTATGTACAGTACAGTGAAAGTAATGCATCACTTAGGTTTTTCCTTTTTATTATTTAATTTTATTCTTGGAATCATTTCTTTTATTATTAGACTGTAACACCCAAGGGTGTCACTTACTCCTCTTCTCTCTTCAGATACGCTGTTGAAATATCTAAATCCACCTCCGGCAAATCCTGGCCCATCGACGCTTCAACAGCATCAAGTGATCCTCCTGTCGCCTCCACCTCAGAAGAACCCAGTGATGCAGCATCAGGAATAAAGGCTGCACCAATAGACCCTGCTGACTGGCCATCACATCTAAGTGATGACGTACGAACAGGGTTAGTTCACAGATGTCCATTTTAAATTGAAAACACCTTCACATTCCCTAAACAAAAGGACGGACGAAGGTGTCAACATGAGTACATTAACAGACACTTAGTCAGTGGGGAAAAAATCGGAAGAAGCTGGCTGATGTACTCGAAAAAGGATGATAGCTTGCACTGTTTCTGCTGCAAAATGTTTTCCAAGAGAGATTACAAACTGAATAGGACTAAAGGACTGGAAAAATGCAAGCCACTTGCTCAAGGTCCATGAGGATAGCCAGGAGCATAATGCTCACATGGCAACGTGGAAGGACTTGGAGGTCTGTTTTGCGAAAGGGCTCACAATAGATAAACAAGAGATGGCACTTGCTGAGGCTGAGAGAAAAAAGGTGGTGTAACGTTCTACATCAATGGGTGGCAATAATTTATTATTTTCTTGTTAACTGTTTTGATTGAACTTGTTTCTCTAAAAATAAAATAAAATGTCAAAGACAAAGCTATTCAGTTTCTTGCGTGAGTATATGTATGTATATAACTGGCAGTGGAATTTACTGCGATGCAAGGCGAGCGCCACCTAAAATCTTGCCTAGGGCGCCAAATTGGTTAGGGCCGGGCCTGCTATGCAGTTAAATTAATGTGGGCTTATTTTTTCATACTAAGAAATAATAGCACCAACTAGTTTTAGTATAAAAATATTGAAATTTGCACCTTTTTTTTTTTCTTCCCCCATTGTGGCGCCCCCTAGATGGACGGCGCTCTTAGCATTTGCCTATACTGCCTATGCCACGGGCCGGCACTGCCTTAGAAGGTATTATACAGGGATTTAAACAAAAATGCTCAGAATTTGCAGATATTGTTTGTTGCAGATATAAACATATAATAAAAAAAACCCACTGAAATCGCTTTTTTCATTTTTATATAATTTGATACCTTTTGATAGTATATTTTTATATTTCCAGATACTGAAGATTTAAAGAATCAGAATTGTACATGAACCATGTCAACATGTACCATGAAGTAGCTGTAAAGTCTCACATTATGCTCCTCAAACATTACAATAGCTCTAACACACTAAATGTGTTCAGTGACTTGAGGGATGAAACCAAAAAAGGATCTTGATCTATGTTGAGATAAGACAGTTTTGGTAAATGATAAGGGACCTGTACTTGTAAAGCGCCTTTCTAGTCTTCCGACCACTCAAAGCTCTTTTACACTACGTGCCACATTCACCCTTTCACACACATTCACTCATTGATGGCAAAGAACAGAAACTAACTGCCCTACCAGATCTGAGACATTATGGGACCAAACCATTTTGTTCACCTGCTTTGGTCTAGATTTTGATACTTTACTGCCAAATTCTGGCCTTTTCTGTCACTACAAAATATAACAGAGTGGCCAGTAACAACCTGCATGTGTAGCTTTAATGGCCTCATCTGTCTGTTCATGTTGTGTAAAGAGGGAAACAGAAATACTTTATAATTGATCTCTGGGGGGGGTGGATACTGAGAATAAATAATCCCCAAGAAGTCCCGACTGAAGCTCATAGGAAAATGCCCATTATATCACACGTGTTTCCATAGATACAAATAGCAAATTTGGTACCGTAACTATGTTGCACTTTTGCAACATAGTGTATATAAAACAAATAAGATTTCTAAAAGTAATCATTGAGGATTTTTTTATATTTCTGTCCGTACAAATACAAACTGCAAATTGAAAATGCAATAAAGAAATTTTATTCAAGTGCGTGATTAGACAAAGTAATGACAAGAAGAACAAAATGTATAATGGGTATAAACAAGAGATGTAAGTGCTTGTAAGTAAAAAAAAAAAGACAGCAAAGCTTTCTTACTTCATCCTTCAATTAAAATGACTGTCCACTAGTAACCTGTTAAAAGATTTTGACAGTAACCTAATCCAAGAATCACAATATTAACGTAACTTGATTACTTTCTGTTACTTTTGGATTACCTCAACACCAAATATGCAAATTAAAACCAAGAGAAAAGAAATAAGTATTGATTCAAATGTATTCTATAAGACAACAGAACAATGTGACCTTTGAAAAGAAAATGCAAACAGAAAAAAATGGAGAGATTTTTAGCATCAACAATGTCTCCTCTGCTCAAATTGTAATTCTGCTAAAAGTATACTAAATGTAACTAATCTGATTACGTGTTTTTACTGTAACTGTAATATAAAAGGTAAATACAGTTACCTTTTTTTTGCATCTTGATAACATCACTCAGTTACATGTAATCCATTACTCCCCAAGCCTGCCAGTATGTCCCTAAATCTGGTGCGACAAGTTTCAGTGTTATTCAACAACAAAAGCAACATAATCTCTAGTTCAGCTTTATTGTCTATTAAGGAATTAATATGAATGTTAGAAGATAGAAAACTGTGAATAAGCTGAGAAGGAAGTCATCCCACTGCTGGCCCGTTACACATTACCACTGAGACACACTACACAGATGACTAATGTTTGCCAAGTTCAGTGTCTGAATTCAGTCAACAGGGTGACTAAACCAGCTTTTTTCTACTTTGTTCAACATGCCTTTAAGTAATTATGTGTTGATGTGTGAAAGTATATTACAATAGACAACTCAGCCAGGCATTGATTCCCTAAAGCTATGTGTTTTTTTGTGGTAAGATTTGTCACAATTAATGAGGTCGAGCCTCTGTCATCATCAGCCTTTTCTGGTTTCCTGGTATGAAATTCTCCAGTGGTCCAGACGTGCTGTATGAGAGCTTAAATGTGATACACCATCACATCATAATGTCCTGAAGTTTCATTTAGTGAATCTGAACTTGAACTTGAGTTAACGTTAATAGTTTTTATTGATGCAACTGGATATGTTTGTATCTCTTTCTCTCTCTCTCCTCTCTCTCTCTCTCTCTCTCTCTCTCTATATATCTATCTATATATATATATATATATATATATATATATAATATTTGTCTGATCAGATTAAATTGACACCACATTTTGTGCTCCGAATGCCAGATTTTTTTTGTTGTTGTTTGTTTTAACAGGAGACTAAAATTAAAATCATTTGACCCAGTTGTCATAAAAAACAAGTAAAAGTTAAGTATTATTATAACCATAGAGGTCCTGATAAAGTAAATCTGCATTTGGAACTGTAGATAAAGGTCAAATGGGTAATTTTTCAATCAAGTATTAGACTACTGTAATTACACCATAATAATATAAGTCATGATTATTAAGAAACAGAAAGTCACCGTGTAATATAACAGCAGTATGATCTGAATCATGTTTCATGTATCTTCATAAGACACAACTGAGAAGCTACAAAGCTCAGTATGAGACGACCCCTGTCTGATTAATAAAACCAGCTGCGGGTGGGTTTCCAGGATACAGCATCACTGGATGAGGCTGCATGTTGATGACAGTAGGATTTTTTTTGCGATGTTTTAACTCACGATGCATCTGACACCAGGCACACCAGACGCAGCAACAGGAAACTCCAATGTCTTTACAGAGAGAACCCTGAGGAGAACCAAAGTGAAAAATAAGGAACGTTTTTAATTCAACATTCAGTATACATCAGCTTTATATGCATCATACCTTGATTCCATATCTGTTTCTCATGGAGGCCCTTAAAGACAAGAGTGCAGGAGGAACAAACAATGGCATCCCACAGGCTGAGACTGCGGCAGAGGTGCACATGTCGCACAATGGCAGACAATAGTTTTCTCCAAATCGTCTGGAAACTGTGCAGGCAAGGCAAGGACAGCACCAGAAACCATAGCAGCCTGAAGAACACACAGAGACAAACTCTCTTCAGTGACTTGACCTTACTAAAGAAGGTCATAGAAATTAGAAAAATATCCCATTAACAAAATGCAAATTTGTTTTGTAGTATTGATTCTTACAAGTACTCGCATCCTCAAAGCAGTCAAACACACCGCTGTCCCAGTCTATCAAGGGTTTTTCTGCCATTGGTTGTTGGTCAATTCGAGCCATAGATAGTGAACAATGACCCTAAAAACACAGAGAAATCAGACCAAAGGCAAAAAAACGTACAGAAATATCAGATCTAGGAACATGCAGATTTGTAGGCTTATTGTACAGTATATCTTAATGTTTTGGAGGTTGTGTATCTAAAATACCACATATTTATCTTCCACAGTAGGCTAAATGAGCTGATTAGATTTTCAGCTCCATGCTGTAAAACGCGTCTTTCTGTCTCTGTTGAAATTTCCTGTTGCTATGTTATTTGTGGCAATTATCTTCTGGACAAACAAATCTCTTCCACGTTACTTGGCAAAATAAAATGCAATGAAAGCTTGGAGAACTGGCTGTACAATTCAGTCCGAAACTGATACCATGTGAGAAAAATACAGTGAACATACCGTTGAGAAGCTAGAACATACAGTGTATATGGTAAATTTAAAGGAAACCGATTAGATGAAGTCTCTAGGTAGAAGCACAATACTGAGTGAAATAGACAAATGGCAAATTTTAAAATTATACTTTAGACTGAATACACCATAAACTGCACCATTTACCTCAGAAAGTATTATACAAAGATTTAAACAATAAACTAAAAGTGCTCCAAATTTAGTTTGTTGTTGATATAAACCAAACAAACAATTAAAAAAACACTGAGATTGCTTTCTAATAATCATAATTTTTATATAATTTGATACCTTTTGATATATTTCAATATACTGAACATGCAAAGAATCACCATTACTTCCCTGTACACGTATCTCCTATAGGCATATAACTGTACACAATATCACACCATGAAGTAGCAGTAAAGTCTCACATTATGCTCCACAAACAATCCAACTGGTAACATTTAGAAATACCTAGGATGCCTCTGTTTTAGTGGTGAGGTTAATATGAACAGTCAAAAAACTGCTGAATGTGACTGTGTTACCAAAGAAGTGAAAATAAATAATTTTCATCGGCAGAAACCTCACTTCTCCTCATAGATAGATAGATAGATAGATAGATAGATAGATAGATAGATAGATAGATAGATAACTTTATTAATCCAACAATGGGGAAATTCACTTGTCACAGCAACATTTGAGTAAAATAAAAGTCATACGGATATAAAAAAAAACAGGAACATTTGCATATCATGTAGCCACGTTTGTTTCCAGTGATGACTGCAGAGACGAAGGGTTTAAACCTCCTCTTCCTCATCCTCCGTTCTCCTTTCTGCAGCCTCGCCGTCTCCTCCTCAGCTCCTCCGGTATGGAGGGTCTCTCTCCAGTCAGGATGCTCGGGTACCTCAGGGCGATCATCTGGTCGCGGGTGTAAACAATGCGACTCCCCGTCGCCATGGAGACCCGTGCAAACAAAAAATTAAAAGTGCTCAAAAACGCCAAAAACGTATTTAGACGACGTGAACAAAGTATTAAGAAAGTAAGAAAGTAAGAAAACAGTTAAAAATAGAAAAAAACACAGGCTATAAACACTGAAAACACACTAAAACTACAACAATGATAGGAGCTGCCATCACAGGCTGCCGTTGTCACCGGCGCCATTCCAATAATAATAATAATAATAATATTAATCATATAACAGTATAAATTAAATTTCACTGCATGTTTGACTAAACTTTAATTCACCTGTTGGGATAAAGATGTAAAATGTGTTATTAGTAAACTTAAAGGTCTTACCCGATTGAGCTGGACAACCTCTGTAGGGACTCTGAAGCTGTGAATGAATGAAAGGATGTGCTTTAGATTAAGAACGGCGTCTTCTGCTGCCAAACCTGTTTTACAAAGAAATGAAACTGAAACTCATTTTAAAGGTCCAGTGTGTAACACGGCGGATCTCTTGTCAGAATTGGAACATAATATTCATAGGTATGTTTTTTTAGTTTATAATCACCTGAAAATAAAAATTGCTGTGTTTTCGTTACCTTGGAAAGAGCCGTAAATATCTACGCTGCAGGTTGTCTTCCATGGAGTCCACCATGTTGAACCGCCATGTTTCTACAGTAGTCCAAAACAGACAAACCAAACACTGGCTGTTGATAGGGCCTTTTTGGAAAAGGGAGAGTGAAGCGTGGGAATTGCAATCTACAACTACACCACTAGATGCCACTAAATCGTACACGTTTGTCCTTTAACTTTTCCCATTTAAAAACGACATTCAAGGTTGAAACGTCCCAAATCCAACAATATAAGATGGGTCATTAAGATAATAAAATATATCAATGAAAGTAACAAACAATAAAAATACAATTATAAAATCTACCAGAAAATAAATTAATTATAGTATAATTAACTGTTTTGCACTTAATTAAATACAATAGAGTAAAGTAAATAATGATCAACAGTAAACAGCAGCTAGATCCTGACCATTGTACCTAGGCTGGTCCTGTGGCATCATTCAAACCAGGTTTGGCAAGAGTCTGGAAACCATACTTGTTATTGCTTTGGTGTTGCTTTGGTCTAGATTGTGATACTTTACTGCCATCTTTTGGCCCTTTCTGTGAATACAAAATATAACAGAGTAGCCAGTAAAACCTGTGTGTGCAGCTTTAATAGCTCCATCCGTCTGTTATTTTTGTGTAGAGAGGGAGACAACAGGCTACATAATTAAAGCCAATGTCAGCAATTATAGCTGCATAAACACAAATAATACTTAGATTAAATAACCATAAGTAGTCTTGGCTGAAGTTCACAGGAAAGTGGAGTTAGACAGAAGACTATCATTACTTGCAGCCCTTAACAATTGTGTTGCTTGAATGTCCATACTTATCAAATACATATCAGTGTGATATTGCACCCATATTTCAATGCTCTCTGCAACTAACAATTCTTTTCTTGATGGACTGATTAATCGTCTGGTCTACAAAACACCAGGAACTGTGAAAGCGAAATTCCCACCACAAGTTGACATCTTCAGAATTCTTGTTTTATCCCGTCATTGGTCCACAACCCAAAGATATTTAGTTTATTATAATGTGGGACAAAGAAAAGAACCAGATCATTATACTAGTAAAAAAGAATATTAAAATATTGACTTTTCATTCAAATCTCTTCATGTAGAACTGAGCTTGTATTTATTTTTATATGAAACAGGATGCAAGAGTGAGACACATGGCAGGAAAGTTTTTATTCAAGTGTAAAACAATGTAATACTGGTTAGAAACTCTTTCTTTATTAAAATATGTGATGCTCTCTTGAACTGTTTCAGCTGTGAACTGTTTAAACTACTAAGTAATACAACAAAGTAATATGAAGCATTTGTAATCCAGTTTTGTTTTCCATTAGTTTATTTGTGATTTCACCTTCATCAACACACAGCCAGTAATGTTTATGTGATTATTACTTAAAATAAAAATGTACTTCAAATACTTCAGAAAGCCGTTGGGTAAACTCAGTGACACAATGTTATGTGTATTCATTAAATATAATTTCTTCAACTTGCATGTGAACCTAAAACAGTAACAGAGAAAGACAGGGAAGTCTTTGGATAAGACCTCTGCTCTCTCTCACATTCAGAGGCACATTTGTGAATTTCCTTCTGATCCATCATGCTGAGACCTGATAATTGAGCTAAATCAAATTTCTTTCACAAGACACAGCAGAACAATAAGAAGCCACAAAGCTCAATGCTGGCCCATAAAACCAGCAGGAGGTGGGTTTCCGTGGGCCATCATCACCGGAGCAGGCTGCATGACATTGACAAAGACATTGGTGGTTTTCTTGCGATACTTCAACTCCCGATGCATCTGACACCAGGAGCACCACCCACAGAAACAGGAAGTCGCAATGTCCCCGCAGAGAGAACCCTGTGGAAAACAAAAGTATTAATTATGCTCTTTTTACTGTGTTCTTCAGGTATTATTTAATGCAGTAAAAATTAGGCTTTCATTCAAACAAAAACATCTGAATGCATCACCTTGACATTATATCTGTGTCGAATGGCAACCCTCATAGACAGGCCTGCAGGTGGCGCACAGAGAGGCAGTCCACAGGCTGCTGTTATGGCAGGGCTGAATATGTCACATAAAGGGAGACAACGGTTGTCTCCAAATTTTTTTGAAACCGTGCAGGCGAGGCAAGGGCAGCACCAGAATCCATAGCAGCCTGAAAAGCAAGCAGTTTTAAGTTGTAATAGAGTTGTTATATAAAGTCTAAGTGGCTTTTTATGACTGAAGGACATACAACAGAAAAAATAAGACAAATATAATAAAACAAACAAATATGACATTATTATGATTGAAGTTGTGGTCTTGATTCTTACAAGAACTTGTGTCCTCACAACAGTCAAAGAGGCTGGTGTTCCACTCAGTCAAGGGAAGTATTGCCATTGGCTCTTGAACATTACCACAGACAGAGAACAATTAACATAAAAGTTAACTAAAAATACATCAGTTTAGAGCAAGAAAATATAGGTGAACTTATTCTGTTTTGCACATACCAGAAATGTTACTTTTACATGCACATATTCATCCTTAAGTGTTGATTATCTGAATAGATATTAGACCATCTTGTGGCAGTCATTTCAATATTAAGATTCAACTATTAATATTATCAAGAATGTTTTGAATGAACATTACAACTATTTTCTATGTAAAGACAAGTAATTTGAAAAAGAAATATGTTTTTGATCAATTGCTATATTTTTGTTTTATGTGTAAAATATATGGACTGAATTAGATTTATCTATTGGCCCTTTAGTTTGACTGTGGCAAACCAGCATGTGCAGGTCATTCTTGCTGAATGAGGTGTTAGGCTACACGCCCTGTAGAAAGAATGACAAAGACAGCAATGCTCAAAAGGGATGGCCTACAAGACTTTTTGTGCCTTCGGTTTTAAAAACATCTTAGAGGGCAAACTTTTATTCATCTGCAAGAAATCTGCATAAATATTCTAATCACAGCAACACTGGCAACAACAATAATCTTTAAATCAGCAACAAATTATTACAATATGATAAGATAATACGTAAGATAAGATAGGATAAATAATCATTTATATTAAATAATTGTTGTCCATCAATTGTAAATCAAAATATCTGTAAAAATATTACAGACGTTGGCAACAGAGGAAGAAGCTGCAGTGACATAGAAAACTCTTGCTCAGCTTTGTACACAGCACCCTACTTGGTGTATGAGACACACATTCAAGCAGTATGATACAAGTACCTTTTATTGTGGTTTTACATTTCAATATTGATGAATATCTTCATTACTAGCAAGGGTTGTGAAGTTGCACAGTATAACTACCAAACAGTAACTGGTAGTTTTCAGAAATAACCAAGAAGCTATGTTACAAAAAACAAAAATTTCACTCTTTATAAACCAAACTTTTGCTGGATTTTAGGATTACCTAACCCCTAACCTCTTACCCCTTACCCTAGCTTTCAACACTTCAGATTAACATATACAATTTCTTATTAGCAAACCCAAAAAACCTTACCTGATTAAGCTTAAAGTCTTTAAAGAGTAAAGTCTGTCACCTCATAAAGCTGTGAAAGAATATGCCTTGAATGAGGAGTGGCACCGTGTGCATACTGAATAAATAGGCACCAACAATGCTGCAGAACCTGAATTTAGACTTAAACAGAGGTGAAAACAATAGTGCACATTAACAAGAGATGTGGCATTCTAGTCCAAAAAAGTGTTGTAACTCTTTCAAGAGCCAAACCCACACCTCTATCTATCTGTCTGGTACTTGAGTAAATGTACTTAGTTAGATTCCATCACTGTGTTTGACTCACTGCCTGGACTTCGGCCGCTCCTTGTTTCTGACAATCTGATTGGAATCTGGCTTGTGTTTCATGGCCTAAAAAAGAAGATGGAAGGTGTGGAAACAGGTGTTGATCCACACATTCTCAGTACAGCCTGTTTGACATTAAGATATTGCTTAAGAAGAGGAATGAGGTAGAAAACCAAAACACCAACCTGTACACCTACATACTTGTGAAGCTAGATGCCTTCTGGTAGTGCATGTGATCTGCCACCTCCATATAAATGTAAATCTGGTTGCCCGGTTAGCTCAGTCGGTAGAGCTGGTGACCTATGTATGGAGTTGCTACAGCGGCCTAGGGTTCAAATCTGATCTGTGGCCCTTTGCTGCGTGTCATCTCCTTTCTCTCTGCCCCCCTTTCCTGTCTATCTTCAGCTGTCACTATCAATAAAGGCAATAAAAGGCCAAAAAATAACTTAAAAAAGTAAATTTTCCTGTCTGCATCATAGCTACAATGTTATACCTCAATCATGCCATACAGCAAAAATTAGTAATAACATTCAATTGCCTTCAGTTGGTTTCTTCAGAAACAACAAATGTGACTGTGTAATTGTTGTTTAATGGTTTGATTACCTTAATTGTTTGCTATTATTATATTATTTTCAATTTACCTATAACCTACATTACCTTTTGTCTATCATCCTCAACCCCATACTTTGTTGTGTTTTAAAGTGTTTTATGTAATAGCAAATTAGAAGCTTCTGTGAGCTAATTTTATGTAAAAGATGACAATATTTATGTTTTATGACATCATTAGCAATTAAAGAACATAAGTTAGGTCCAAATCAGAATAGCTAATAGGTGACCATGTGAGCGACTTTATTTGTTCCAATTGAGGTGGATCACCAAAACATAGAAATGAGGGAGTGACACACCACAATATCATGCAGGCAGTACTCTTGGCAACTTTAATTATGTCTCAAGATACCACATGGGAATCCAACATTTTGTTAAACTAGCACACAGTTGTAGATGTTTTAATGTTTCATCCAGCAGAGTTGGAGGGTCTGTGTAGTGGTAGTAGTGGCACCAAACCTAGAAGTCCTGCAGAAAACCAGAGGGGATAAACATTCCCTGTGTGTTTTTTTATATGTGAGCCCTACACTTAAGCAATTTTTTTTAGAAGGTCTTTTAGGAGTCCTTTTATTGACACCAAGACTGAGTGCTCTCTCTCTTCCAAAATGACAATCCACAATGAGCAGCATTATTTTTCAATCAAACAAAAACAGAG